GTGAAATATTTGGCATGCTAAATATCTGGAGCTGTCGGCGATTCACAATCAAGCTGTGTGCAATGAGTTCTGACTGAAAAACACATCGGCGATGACCTACAGCCAATGAGAGACCAAGATACAGGGCAGCAGGAAGTTCGGGGAGGAGTTATATCCCTGATAGCAACAGACTCCGGGGCGGATCCGCCCTCAAATCGGCAGCTCCGCTGTACTGTCAGACTCTGTTCGGTCATTCGCCCAGAATATGCCCCGCCTCCGGACAGCGCACTGTCAGTAGACAAATGCCCGAAATCGGAGGCAAATCGGTGCTCGTTCACGCGAGTGACAATCACGCAGTGTGAATTATCAAAGACGCGATCTGAGGGAATCGCCGATGCATTGCCAACGCCTGTGAAATATTTGGCATGCTAAATATTTGGAGCTGTCGGCGATTCAGCCCCCCCATACCCCAGATAATCGTTCAGTGTGAAACCAACAGTGATGCAACGTCTTTGAAAATTGTGCAGTGTGAACTCGGCATTACATGTATCTGCTGACACACTGACTACCATTTATATTTACATTCTATGTTGTAGTCTTCCATGGACAAATAAATTCACTTCATAATTAGCTGTGGTGTGTGGTGACTCCCTTATTTTGTTGCGATTCAGAAAGAGATCGTAACATTAATTAAATACTTTGTTCATATTTGTAGTGAACAAAGTGTCATTGTCTAATATTTTTCTACATGTCAATGGTGGTCCATGTGAACCTACAATCTTTTAGAATATTTTGAATCTAATCAGCAGTTGTCTTATTCAGATTTTAGAACCCAAATATATATGATTAATATCAGAATATTATTATGTTTGCACACATAGACCATGAGCAGATGTAATATACACTCAAAACAAAAATGGTGCTAAGTAGCACTAAAAGTGGTTCATTGGCTTGTAATCATGGGGGAACCACTTGCTATATAGGTGCTTTAAAGGTGCTACAGCGCCTTTGTCAAATGGTGTTATGTAGAACCATAAGAGGAACACCATTCTCCTCCTTAGATTTTCGAGATGTTACTCCACTCTCATATGTTTGCTATGAATGGAAATTTACTACAATGGCAAAAGCTGTTTTGAATCACTTTTATGCTTTTCTGAGGTCAAAAAGTCTTGTGTGGGGGCCCTGGAATATTTCCTTATGGGGGGCTAATGGGCTATGGGGGCGAAAAGGCGAGTATGTCCGAATTCATAGTATAAAAAAACAGTAGGCGAAAAGTACCTTGATGACCTACTTCTTCCACCTGGATTCTGAAGTGCACATTCGGTGGACATTTTACAATCCCATGAGGCCACAGGAGAGAATTTATAAATGGCAGTGAAGCGACGCAATTGACGCTGGTAGGTCATGTAGCGGATGTAGTACGTCCAAATATCATTCATACCATATTCATACTTTATAGAATAAGGTGACCAGATTTCTGAAATGAAAACCAGGGACATTGCCTACTTCAGTGGTCGAAGTATAATTGAAATCTCACTTGTGATTGTCTACAAATTAAAAAAAAAAATGTCCATAGTTTATTATTAGGCCTACAATTCACCAAAAATCACGCTATGAAAAATAAATAGTACCTCTAGATGGCTGTATAGCCCTATATATAAATACATATAAACCGTTTGCTGCAGAGTGAGAACTTTTAAGAATGACAAAGCACGTTACTTGAATCTGGTTATTCATTGATATATTTTCAGACTTCATTAAAGACTACATTTAGTAAACGTTTACATTTAAATGTTGACTTGATAATTTTGCCGGAAATGCAGAAATAAGCCGTAATTTTGTTTTATTTGTAACTCTTCGGTAAATACTTTTATAATTTTTATTTCATTACTACTAGTACTGTTGCTGCTAATAAAACAGATCTCTGGGGGCCCCAAAAGTGCGTGGGCCCTTAGAATCGTCTTACCCCCCCCCCCCCCTTAGCGGCGCCCCTGATAGTAACTATTGCAAATAGTAAACAGATTGAAACAGGATTATAACAAAACTATGATTTGCAAACACATTAAAAAATAAAACAGCGCTCTCTGCTGGGGAAAGTAATCATTGTTTTGAATGTGCTGTAAAAAGGGGACATTTCTGGGGACAGGACACCAAAAACCGGGACTCTCCCCGGAAAATTGGGACGTCGGGTTACCCTAATCAGGCAGTATGCGATTTCGGACACTCCGACTGAATCTTAGAACTGCTTCGAAGGAATCGTTTGAGAATCGTTGGAAAATTAGATGATATTGCATATGCATATTTTGAGAAAAATAAAGTGTTTTTTGCCCTTGCATGCATGTAATCCTACTGTAGGAGACTCACAAAACAATATTAGGAACCTTAAAAATGGCATAATAGGGGCACTTTAATAGCTGTGGATTTTTTCTCTTTAGATTCACTTCAGAAACCCTTCATCAGTGTTAGTGATGATGATGACCAGCTCAGCATATCATGTGAAATACCACTTTCAGTCAGAGCTGATTTCATCTGTAGCCTCTACACTGAGAATGATGCTCTTCTGTATCAACGTGACTCTCAGTGGAGTCAGTCTGGAAATAATCTTTGTATGTTTTATGTAAGTCGTAGTGAACTCTTCACACGATCAGTGAACAGCAGACGGCTGATCTGTGTTTATTCACTCAAGACTGAACCTGAGATCAGATCACCACACAGTGACACATATACCATCAGAGGTGAGTTATTATTGTTTTCATTTTTAAAACATGAGCACATTTAATGATTAGAGACACCTGTATAATTATTTAGCCAGTATGATTTATTATGTAGGCGAGTAATATCAAAGTCCCTTTAAGGCAAGTCATTTCACTCGGCGGCCATCTTTTTATAATCAGCAGTTGACTTATTTAGGTTTTTAGAACCCAAAAATATGTGATTAATATTGGAATATTATTGTGCTTGTAAACATTGTCAGTGAGGAGATGTAATGTAGTGAATGATCTGTTTTGTGTTGTTTCAGAATCTCCTACTGTAAAAGTATCTCCAGATGTCATAAGAGAGTCCAGCTCAGTGAAGATCAGCTGTGAGACTCCAGCAGATGTTAGAGTGAATCAGTGTTATTTCATCACAAACAGAGAAGAGAAGAATCTAAAAGTCAGTTCATCATGTGAGCTCGAGCTCACTGGTGCTGAAGTGCTCAGATGGGCAGGTGTAAAATCACCTGAATCAATCTACATTAACTGTTACTACACAATACATGAAGGAGGCATTAATAAACCATCATCTGATTCTCCTCCCGCCACAGTGACGGTTCTAGGTGAGATATTTCACTGCTGTTCTTCTGTCTTAGAAACTGTTACTGCTGTATTTTTAGAAACTGGATCATTTGTCTTCAAACAGATGCACTTCCAAAACCCTTCATCAGTGTTAGTGATGACCAGCTCAGCATATCATGTGAAATACCACTTTCAGTCAGAGCTGATTTCATCTGTAGCCTCTACACTGAGAATGATGCTCTTCTGTATCAACGTGACTCTCAGTGGAGTCAGTCTGGAAATAATCTTTGTATGTTTTATGTAAGTCGTAGTGAACTCTTCACACGATCAGTGAACAGCAGACAGCTGATCTGTGTTTATTCACTCAAGACTGAACCTGAGATCAGATCACCAGGCAGTGACACATACACCATCAGAGGTGAGTTATTATTGTTTTCATTTTTAAAACATGAGCACATTTAATGATTAGAGACACCTGTATAATTATTTAGCCAGTATGATTTATTATGTAGGCGAGTAATATCAAAGTCCCTTTAAGGCAAGTCATTTCACTCGGCGGCCATCTTTGAACGCCTCTCGGGCATGCAAGTGCAGCTCCTATCTCTCTGAATGGGGAAACATCAAATTCTCCAAAACTCACCAAGTTTACGATTAAATTTCATATTTGAAATCACCAATGCAATCTGACAACAGTTGTCTCAAAAATGTATTTTGCTCATATGGAGTTAAAAAAGCTTATTTTTCAGGCTACACTATGCGTTTTGTTTTAAAATGGCGTTGTAACATGAAAACGATCCTCGTCTACACTTGCGTTTTAACTGCATTTCAGAAACGTTCTCTGTCCACACTACACAACCAAAAATGCAAGGGTATAGTGTAAAGGACAGGCGTAACCATAGCAAAAGTTATGCGTTTTAAAATGAAAACGCACTAGTGTAAATGATGACTTTACCAATTAGCTCTTTTATTCAGAAGAAGGGGTTTCTTTCGGGGTTTCCAACCTCTTTCGGGGTTGCATTTTTCCCCATTCAAAATGATACGAGTGACATGTCTTGGGTATTCTATAGTCTTTGGTAGTATATTGGAAAATAATTTGTGGAAGATTCATCAAAAAAGTCAAGTCAGTTACTTCAAAACAACAACAAATAAATAAATAAAATGAGAAAAATTGAATGATAAAACCTCTAAAAAGTCTAGATAGATTTTTTACATATAGACCCTTTCAATAGGCTGCACAACACTGAAAGGACAAATATACTAAATATAGAATAGACTTTAAATATGGTTGATCATAATCCCTGGGCTGCTACAGACATATTTGTCAGTTTGACTTTGGCAAGTGAACAATCTGGTGCATATCAATAAAAGTTGACATATCAGAGAGCCAGACTATGTCTGACAAATCTACAGAAACTCACTTCTGCCTAAAATGAAATCCATAATAAGATGGTGAAAAGAGAAACTGTTCAAATCTGCAAGTTATTTTAATTTTAATATGTTCTTTGGAAGTTCTTATTGGGTCATTCTGTTCTGCATCACATTCTGGACTTTACAGAAATTAATACACAAGTCAGAAGTATTTTTAGAAATGTGCTCTAGTTAAACTAATTATATGCCTTATTTGTTTATTACATTATATATTTTTTTATTATTCATTAGATCTTCTTCAGGCCAAGTTGAGAGCGTCTACTTCAGTTATTCTGGAAACAGACACAGTTGAGCTGAGCTGTGAGAATACTGAAGATCTGAAGATGGAGAAGTGTTACTTCAGCATAAATGGAGAAGGAAGTAACTCAAAAGTGAGCTCATCATGTCAGCTCTCACTCATCTGTGAGAATAACCTGCTTCTACACTGTGAAATTGTCACAAGTTCAAAAACTATCTGCTCACTCTGATCCAGTGACAGTAACAGTCCAGAGTGAGTTTTTTTTCTTTCTTTTCTTCTTCTTTTTTTTTTTCAATCTATTGTTGAATTCTATTTTTCCTTATAAACAGCGACCACTACTGTTAAAGCTTTGACAACAACCATAAAATCTTGTGGGTGACCTTATTTTTAAATTAAACGTGTTACACATACCTTACATCTCAGCATATGAGCTTTTATTACAATGTAAAAAATATTAAAAATAACCTTGAATATTATTTTGCTGTTAATTTAAATGAGTTGTCTAAACCAGTGCTAGATGGATGATGCTTTTCAGTGTTTATCGCATTAGATGATTCTGTCCAGCTCACATTTTATTTTTCTCATATTTTAATAATGTATTATTGTATGTTATAATGTATTAATAACACTGCTAAAGTTTTATTTCCAAATTAAATGCACCTTGTGACATTGTGGAAATCTCTTTGCAGCTTCAACTGCGACCTCTACTGGTGAAACTGTGACAACTGCCACAAAAACTTGTAAGTAAAGTTTATATATATTTATATATCAGGGGCGTTTCCTCCGAGGAGGCAAGGGAGGCAGTGTCTCCTCAAAAAGTTGGATGAGAAAATAATCTATATTACAAAAACAAAACAGCGCAAATATGACTAAATATTATATTAAAAGTCTAAAAGTCACTAGTTTTTATAAAGTTACACTGTCCGACAGCGACACCCGCAGGTAAAGTTACAGCGGAGGCTTGCCTCCCTTCGGTCCATAGACTTTCTACAGAGACCCTAAAGCGTGCCGTGACTTTTCTGGAGGCTCATTGAGATGAATGGGGGAAAGTCACGTGAGAGGAGGCAATGCCTCCATCGCGCTATAATTGGATATGATCGGTTACGATTGGATGTGATTGGTTCGTGTGATAAATCCCGCCTCTTGTTTTCGTGCGAGCTCTCGGCCTGAATGAAGAAAATGATGGCGTTATTGACTAATTATAAAGTAAGTAAACAACTCTCCCTCTTAGATACCACTACTTTGTGTCACGTCAAAATAAAACTTGAAATGGTCTGAAAACGCATTAGGGATGTAACGATTACTGGTTTGATGATAAATCATGATAAAATTCCCCACGGATAGTATTACCGTTTTATCTTTTAATTATCATTAAAACCGTATTAGATTACCACGCTTTGAGCAACTCGCGATAAAATAAATACTGTCCAGCATAAAGCACAGTTTTAAGTAACAGTCAGCACGCAGAGTAGTTCGTTTTGAGTGAAAATGGGGCGGAAAAGCTGGGAGGTTTTAAAAGAGTGCTAAGGGAATTATACAAATGAATATATGAATGAATGAATTATATGAATGTACCTCTGAAGGTTCTGACTGTCTTCAGAAACGATTCGATGGCATTTTGTTTTCATCTTCGCTCCATGTAATACCTAAAGGAAGTGTTCTTAATCGCAATACTGCTTTGTCCACAGAGTTTACGGGAAACAGCTGTAATTCAGCCTTTCCAGAAGCGCCACCTGCTGTCAGCGAGTGGATTTACAGAGACTTATATTTACATTCAGTCTGTGTGCAGTTTCTGTCTGGCCAAAAACGGACCGAATTTGCATGCCCTTCTGTAAATTTTGATGAAATTTTGATGAAAAACAAGCTTATGTGGATTCTACACATTTAAACAATTCAGATAAGTTATCTAGAATTATTTATGGAGCAGATAAAATACATATAATCATTTGTTAATCAATTATCATTTTGACTTAACCCTTTTCTTTATTTAAAGGCTGATATGTGAGGTTTACCTTTTTATGAAACTTTTTCAAAGCTTTATTTGAACATTTACATTAGATATTTCAACATGCTATTAAACTGTTGTCAGTCAAGTTGTCATTTAAGTACAATGTACAGGTTTAGTTGTACGTAAACTGATAAACTCCATGATATAGAAACATTTAAAATAAAATCTGTATCTCTGCAGGTTCTGCTGATGTTCTCACAGAGCTGAACTACACCTCCTGCCAGCTGGAAACAACGTCTATTTTAACCTCCTCTGTCTGCCCCTCAAAACATGGATGACCTGTTTCATTTCTGTTTCCGTTTCATTCAGTTGCTGAACTACTATTGCTAAAATATTACATTTTAAAGGGGTGTATGATGCGATTTCAAGTTTTCCTTTCTCTTTGGAGTGTTACAAGCTGATTGTGCATAGATAAGATCCCTGAAGTTGCAAAGACTAAAGTCTCAAAACCAAAGAGATATTCTTTTTGATGAAAAACAAGCTTATGTGGATTCTACACATTTAAACAATTCAGATAAGTTATCTAGAATTATTTATGGAGCAGATAAAATACATATAATCATTTGTTAATCAATTATCATTTTGACTTAACCCTTTTCTTTATTTAAAGGCTGATATGTGAGGTTTACCTTTTTATGAAACTTTTTCAAAGCTTTATTTGAACATTTACATTAGATATTTCAACATGCTATTAAACTGTTGTCAGTCAAGTTGTCATTTAAGTACAATGTACAGGTTTAGTTGTACGTAAACTGATAAACTCCATGATATAGAAACATTTAAAATAAAATCTGTATCTCTGCAGGTTCTGCTGATGTTCTCACAGAGCTGAACTACACCTCCTGCCAGCTGGAAACAACGTCTATTTTAACCTCCTCTGTCTGCCCCTCAAAACATGGATGACCTGTTTCATTTCTGTAAGGAGGGGGCTTTGTAGAAAACGAAGCGTTTGAGAGAGGCGGGGCATAGAGGACCTACAATAATGTACAGTATTTGGAAAATAATGTGTTTTTTGAACATTAAAGCATGTCAGCATATTCTGTTACACCAAATACACAAAATAATGATCTTTAAAAAAGCATCATATGACCCCTTTAAATCTAATTTAGTCTATCTGTATATACTTTTTTGAACACACATTGCTTTTAACATATACACTATTTCTAACAATAATGTTGAGAATTGAACTGCAAAAATGATCATAGTGTCCTACTGGTTTTGTGTGTTTGTTTGTTCTTGTTTTATGATCATTGACCATCTGAACTGCTTGAGTGTACATCTGCATGTTTGAAATACGTAGGGTTGCCAACCGTTCCGTATAATACGCAATTGTCCCGTATATAAGGCATCAAGGAAGCGTTCAAGCTATAGCTGTGGAACGCAGTTTGTCCCATATTCGCAGACATATGCTGTATGACCACCTAGACCAGGGGTGTCAAACTCAACTCCTGGAGGGCCTGCAAAGTTTGGATTCAACCTTAATTAAACACACCTGATCCAACTAATCAAGTCCTTCAGGCTTATTTGAAAACTACAGAGTATGTGATGGAGCAGGGTTGGGACAAAACTCCAGGAATTGAGTTTGACACCCCTGACCTAGACCATACGAGCAGCAAATTCTCAACTGATAATAAACCATTCGTTTTGCATTGTTTGAATTGCGAACGTAGCCGTTTGTGGAAGACTTTAAAGGGGTCATCGGATGCCCATTTTCCACAAGTTGATATGATTATTTAGGGTCTTAATGAAAAGTCTGTAACATACTTTGGTTAAAATTTCTCAATGGTCGTGTAAAAACACCTTTTTTACCCTGTCTAAATCAGCTCTTTTTTCAGCACGCAGTTCTAGTCCGTGTTGCTTTAAATGCTAATTGTAACCAGTAGTGCTTACAGTGTGCAATAGATACTTTAGTTCCTCTGTGTATCAATATGAATGACAGAATACACAGTAACAGGCCAGATCACCAGGTTCGCTACAAAGGGCAGAAATGAGGTAAAACACTTTAACACAAGGGCCAGACAGATCAGGAAAATTACTTTTACCAAAATGTTTGGTTTTACTTTTTTTTCAGAGAAGTTGAAATGAATGAAATCACTAAATGAAATAACAGCAAAATAATAAAATAAAATAACAAGTAATGACTTTGTCTCTTTCTTTGCCTTTAAGAAATGTAACCTTCTGAGCTCCTTTTTAGTTATTTTTCTTAGCTATAATCTATTTATATTATATTTGTTCACTTTAATATTTAAGTAGATATATATATACATTAATCTTTCTTATTTATTTAGATTCAATTTTAGTTTAATGTCTGTATAACTTCTGCTATTTTTTTTTCTTTTGGAGCTTTAAGATGTTTTTCCTACTTGGTTAAATTTGAACCATTAACCCACAACATGAAACAGTTGTAGCAATCAGGTTACTTTCAACAAATAGCACTTTAACTGAAATAATACAGAAAACTCAACAGTAATTCAATGTAGATGAACAGTTCTCACTCCATGAAGCAAGTGTGTATGTACATGTGTAAAGAAAAAGTCCTTCAAATCCAATTGATGAATCCAATGAATGCAAAAGTCAAAAGACAAAATTGTCTATGGTGCAATGTTCAATAAGGCAACAAACAGTTCTGTGCAATACTCAGTGTTGGGGTAACTGATGAGAAATACCACAAGGAATGGATGAGTTCCGCTGGTATCAGCAATTAAGGCACAGATCACGTGATGAATAGCAGAATTCCTCTTCTTGTCTCTGCTTAGGTTCTCTAGCTGGGTGGTGGCTCGCCATCTCAAGATCACAGTTTATTCCAGACTTACGAAAAAACCTGACCTGTTTATACAAACAGGATCACAAAGATCACAGATTATTTAAATGACTATAATACTCATCAAACCTCAACAAATCTTTCAAACATTAACTCATTTGGTTGTAAAATACAATTGGAGTGCTTTTGTCACTCAATATGTAAACAAGGCATTCACATGTGTGATAATGCTGTGCTAGTTTTTTTCATTTTTAGTACATAACATTACTTCTTTTTAGTACATAGTACATTAACACATATCCTCTGACCGTAAATACATATCAACTGGTATAAAAACACACCAGAACATCAATATAACACATAAACACTCAATTCCAACAAATTGAACAGTATATTATCTTGAACTCACCAAATCCGGGAGATTTCAATACAAAATTATTAACCGCGTTGGATTCTGGGGCTCACAATCCACCATCATCCACTTCTATATTGGAATCATCACGCTTTTAATCCCTTTTAACATTAAAAAAAGTTCCACAAAAATATTAGTGCCCTGGGAGACTTCCTGAGGTAGAAACTTGAGTTTTGTTTAGGGTTTTTTATACACGTTTACATTTTAATTGTTGTTTTCTTTCTCAGGTGGATGCTGGAACAAATAGCAGCCAGGCCACAGCATCTAAAATGTAAACTTCTATTAAAGTGGCTCCGTAGTCCGTAACGTAAGAGACTTGGGACGGTGGAAGGAGCAGAAGAACCAAAAGATCAGAGATCAGGCAGAGCTCTACTGGTGCCCCTTAGGGGATTGATTTATCTATAATAAGTATCTATAATATCTACTTAATGTTCTGATGTAGTTATAATTGGTCATTGTTCTGTTTTATAAATCTATTCAATATATTCTACTGTTCAATAGTTTGGGGTCAGAAAGTTTTTTTTTCTTTAAGAAATTACTTGTATTCAGCAAGGGCGCATTAAATTGATAAAAAGCGACAGTAAAAACTTTTACATTGTTGGACAAAAATCATATTTTAAACAAAATGCTGCTCTTTTAAAAGCTCTATTCAAAGTAACCTGAAAAAAATATAGCACTTTTTCCACAAATGACGCAGCACAACTGTTTTTGAGATGATAAGAAATGTTTCTTGAGCATCAAAACAGC